TCGAACGTTTCAATTGGGATAAACCTCGATATAAAACCGTCGTGCTTGATCTGCATTTCCATTTGTACAGTAGCAGTGGGATAATAAGCTCTTTTAATAGAAACTAACTTTTAACGGATTGTGACATGGACTTTTTCAAACTTAATAAGACCGAGAATAAAAAATCGATTTGTGGCTAAACGATAACACTTATCGATTTAAAACAACAGCAACAATTTTTGAGGATTTGTGATTCTGCTTTAAGGATATCTGTTCTATTTTGCAATATCAGTCAAAATTAATAAAATTTAGGGAAAATAAAAAAAAATCTAGGCAAGCTGCCCTCTAGTGACAGATTTCTAAAACGCTTTTATTTTGTAACGATGGTTTTTACTAAATCAGAGTTGTGTGTTAAATATCCGCTTATTCCGTTAAGAATTAAGCACACTGCTTTAAAAATAAAATTTTTAAAAATGAATTATGACAAGCTATAACTCGGAAAATGTTACGATTTTGAATTTTTATTACATAACTTACTACGATTATTTGAATCTTTGATCCAAGTTTCAGAATTCAATTTCCGAACACCGTGATGTACTTTCAGTATGTAACAGGATAGATATAATACAATACATTTGGCAGCAAATGCAGTGTATATAGAGCAGATATTTAATGATAAGTATTATTCAAATTTCAGATGAAAAAAAATTAGTCTTTTAAAAACCAAGATTTAATCATATCGGTGTTGTTGCTTAACAAGGATTGTGCTGACCTTGTCATTGTATTTTTTTAGCAATCGGCTTCATTTTGTTCATAAGTTGTTCTGTGCTGTGAACCAATCTTTTCCTAGTGTGCTGCTGCTCCATCCATGCTCTTACACAGTTTCTCAGTAATTTATCATAATAATGATAATTATTGTTGCTTTTTTATGTTCTTTGGAGACTGGACTTTTCTTAGTTCTCGTAAAGTGCTGAAGCATAAGCCAATTTGTGAAAAACGTTTATATTCATTCCGGTGACAGTTTAAATATAACAGTTGTTTTACTCTACTACTATATCTGTTAAAGTACGAACCTGAATTTGAAGACACTAAGTATCAGAGGTATAGAACCAAAAAAAGTTTCTACTCTATATTTTAAAATGAATCGTGCACTGATAAGGCGTCTTCAGCGTCACTTTAAGACGCGAGTCACTTCTAAGGTTTCCGGTGGATTTTAGCCACGGATGGGATTTTGACGTATTCCGGCTGTTTTTCAAAGATATTTCCAAAAACTAATGGTCGTAGAGAAAGTCTAGTATGCTAACATCTTGATAAACTTCTTTAGTCCCTCTCGCGACTCGTGCCAAAAGTGTCGTTTATCAAACTTGTTGCGTAATATACTAGTATAAAAGTTAGCGATACAAGACAACGTCATGAGATCAGCTATTATCAAAAAAATGCACCCTGTTTCAAAGATCTTTCGACTTGTTATTGGGTACTATTTTAAAAGCCGGTCGAGGATTTTTGATTACTAATCTCAAATTTTGTAAATTCACCCTTACCTTGAAATTCTTTTATCTTTTTTAGATGCAAATCTCTAACTTGCTCTGTTTTAGCCTAGTTTTTTATGGTATGTTGCTGTTACAAAGTTAGTTTTACATGTAAATATGTTAAAGTTATAACGAGACGCCACACCTGACTCTAATGATACGAAGGTTGGTAGGTTTAAAACGTGTAGTGGAGCTGACGGGGCACAGTTTCCACTTTTCAACACTTTTATGGGTTGACTCTGTTCTTAGAAAATTAAAAAGTTGTGTTTTTCACATTGTTCGTGATGCGTTCAGTTTAGATTTTGCCATACAATGTATAATTGGATATTAGCAGCTTTTATATCTCATTTGATTTTTACGCTATCGTATCAGATTATATTCAGTTTGGATTGTTTAATTTTAAATAATTGCAACACATTTTATGCTATTTTACTGCTTAGTCCATTTATCTATAAGTTTTTTTAAAATGTGTATTTGTAGTTTAAACGCACTTGAAGCCACCATCAATGAGTTTTCTTGTAATTAATTCAAATTCCTTTGATTGATGCAAGGACGATCTGATCGTCAGCGAAGTGTAGTGTGTAGACCGTGGTATCATCTTTTGTACTGCCACTACCTGGCAACGTCTACGCCAGTGCTTAAGAGCTTGATCTAAATAAATTTTGAACAATGTGGGGGAGAGAGTGTATCCTTGGGTTTTTGTTACCGAGAATTAATTTTCAAGTTTAATCCTGGATCGGGAGTTTTGTTAAAACTGTTTGATTAATTTTAATTTATTAATGTGACAATTATTTATGTACCCTCCATGACTTTTTAAAGGTTTGCGACTGGAACGTTGTCGTACGCCTTGGCCAAGTCAACAAATAGCAACCTGTAACTATTTTTTATTCTTCCTTTGTTGCTGGGATTGGTTCTCCAGCTAAAAATCTTTGAAAGAGTTCTGTCGGTCATTTGATTTAACGTTATTCATATAACGGAGTGCTCTTTCTGTTAAACTTGTGTAAATTTGATTTGATTTTAGATCTTAAGAAGTTTCATGCCTCAGATTATTTTGAATCCCCAAGGTGTGCGTCAAATTTCCTAACCCACATTTTATTTTCATTTGCAGCAATCATTCGGTTATATTTTTGGTTTTTTTATACTTGTACTTATATATAGTATACCGCCTGTTTAACTAGTAGCTCTAGGTTCCAAGTGTCTTCGTGATTTTTCTTGCTTCCTTGTTTTCTTCTCCTGATGTTTCATGTCGTCCGATACATTTATAAGAATATTTAGTTTGGCTATTTGTAGTCAATTATTGAATCTTTTATTTTACTGCCGGGCATACATTTTGTTCACAAAACTGGATAACTCTATGAGCATTCTTATTTACAGCATTTTCTCCAAACTTTCCCATCACTGGGTTTTCCTGATTTTTCCCTATTTCTGATATTAAATCACCCATTAGCATGATTCCACATTGGTTGCCTACTTTGCACGCAACGGGTAAGTTGACGGCAGCTATTCTTTTATTTTTTCTTTTAGTTTTTTCCACCATGCTTAATATGTAATCTCTAAGGGTTTCAATTCCATTTTCCTTCTTTTTTTTTATTCTATTTTAAGTTTGCTCATAGATTATGTTATATCTTGTGTCATGTTGGATGAAGTTTGTCCATCCCAGATTGCAAGATTCATTTGCCTTACCTGGTCCCCTAACTTGGGGGAGCAATGTTGTCTTATTCTCCAAGGCAGCAGGCGGGATTGTCACTTGCGGCGGGTCCGTCGTATCCAAGTCCTTTTTTTTCCTCTTCGCCGCCGGTGTCGTCTTCATTCTTAACCCTGAACAAGGGGACCTTATGCCTGGACCAGCTGATCCCTGTTTTTTTTTGCGAGATGCTACTTCTTGATTTCTCCTTCTTCCTTGCGTCTTCCTTGGATAGGCCCCATAGCGGAATGTAATTATAACTTTATTAAAATAATTACACGAAAATGATATTATGACAAGTAAACTATTTGCTCTTATAAAGTAATAAAAATTATGAAACTTGTAGGCATTTTATTGGGGTTACTATAATCAGATAAGAAAATTTCGGTTTCGGTAGATATGGTACACCATTTCTTGTATAAATTGCCTTTTCAATAGGAACTAGTTCTAATTTATTACACATTTTCTGGATTTCTTTAGCATCAGTTTCCACTGTCAGACTCTCTGAAATTTCAGACTGTTCAAACGGCATTGTTGGCAAAACGGCCGCTAGGGAGAGATTCAGATAATGTGTAGCAACAAATTCTAAAACCTGTGGAAGTTTCTTTGGGAAAAGTTATGTTTGGTAAACTTTTGTAAGTCACTCGTTTCTTAAACACTTGCCGAGCTGCTCTCAGCTCGTGTCAAATAAACTGGTGACTCAAATAGCCTTTATCATAACTGTTGGATGATATACTATTACCATACTTGTTCGATAATATAATATGTACTGCTCCCTTCTCTAAAATACCCACTTAAACACCTATTTAGCGTGCTTAAAAACGATTTCGGAAATTTCGGACCTCTTCTCTGGAGGTCAGAGTTATAGGATGTTTTTGGAAAACGTGTATTTTTAAAAAATCGGTATAACTTTTTTGTCCTGAGAAATTTTGCGTTTCAATGATAACATTTCCAGAAGATCGTTTTAGGAAGATTTCATGATTTGCATATAATATTTTTTACAACTAATAGTTAACTAGTTATGAACCGAAAATTTGATTTTTTATATGGGACACCCTGTATACTTTCATATCATTGCAATTATCCTTGAATAAGATTGATATATCTAAGAAAATTCAAAAGACACAGATATTGTATCACAAACGCATTACAATTTAAGCAATTGCAAAAATCTCACATTCACAAATAATAATGAAATACCTTGCTTACAAATAAATAATACCAATAGTAGTACGTTTAATATTAATCATCAAAAATAATGTTTATATTTTTACGAAACACTCATTTTAGATTGTTAGAAAATGTCAAAAATTGTTAATCAAGATTTTTCATAAAAATTTAATATTTGTCGATGGTACAACACTGAGCCGGTTTTGACTGGACGAGTAGGAAAATTCCGCAATGAGCAACATGGGAGTCCTGGAGGTCTGCGAGATCTACTATTTCAAAAAAGAAATAGCTGCACCTGATTACAATTTCCGCATTGTCCTTCATAAACAAAGTACTTACTACTAACTAACAAGCTTCTAGCAAGCGAAATACGGAGAAATTTGAGCGGAACGAATCATTTAATTTAAGGTTTTCCGTTAGCGACGAATTTACGACCTCAGGAATATCGCTTCGTGTCGTAAACTGCACTCAGAATCCGCCGTCAACCACAGCTTACACACTATATTTATTTACGACGCATTCTAATTCATTAATCACACTCTATATACGGGGCGTAAATTATACTCGTCGCGTTAGTAATTACCTATCCGCGGATAAAATACGTCGTTTCGCCCTAAAATGGCATACGTGTCCCGCAGGGATGTCTGGCGCCGGTCCGAGTCAATATTCCCGAAGGAACCATCCTAAATCCGGGAGACGAGGCGGCGGTCGTCGGCGGGAACGTTCTGACGTCGCAGCGCGTCGTCGACGTCGTCCTCGGCGCTTTCGAGGTCTGCGCTGCATCCCAAGGTTGCATGAACAACATCACCTTTGGGAACGACTCTTGGGGCTGTTACGAAACCGTCGCCGGAGGCAGCGGCGCGGTGAGTATGCCACTTCCAACTTTGTTTTGCCTGTCCGCGGGGATTCAAAATTATCGTCATCGTAAATATGTTTTGGTTAGGTTCGGGTGATTCGAGAGACTTAATTCGTTAATTTATTCCCCAATGGTGGCGCTGCCAACAGTAAACAAACGTGACCGTTTGGCCCGTTGGTTGACGATCTCAACAATTTTTTTATTAACACGGCTATCAGGAATTCCTTTCAAGGTCGTTTAGAGTATTTTTTATGTACCCCAGAAATGAGACTGAGTTATACAGGGTGATCCGAAACTTGAAAAACTCAAGTAACAGAGATGTACGAGGTTAGCGCCAAAATTTCCCGGCCTGACATAGGTGCAGCTCCAGTATCACGATAAAACTTTGTCTTCTTTTAAATATATATCTTAGTAGGCTGCGAAAAAAAAAATTGAAGTCTTGCGTCAAATAGTTTCTTATTGACAGCATTTTAAACAAGACGTGTCCGAAAAAATGTCGTACATAACGCAAATCGAGTATAGAGCAGTCATAATTTTTTTGATAAAAGAAGGGTTAGCTCCAAAAATTATTAAAGAAAGGCTGGATGGTGTATTCTGTAGTGAAAGAATAGGCAAAACGTTTTCGAATGGGGCAGGAGTTCCTTGAAGATGATTCAAGCACTGGTCGACCATTGGATGTCACAACGGATTGTGGAAGAGGTGGTATTGAGTGATTGACGTTTAAGGCTCAATTAAATCTCAGAAATTACTAAGCTTTCGTTCGTCGAATCCTGCATGATCATTTAGATATGCATAAGGTTAGATGGGTTCCTAAAAACCTTTCCGCTATTCAAAAACAACGCCGTGTCGAGTGTGCGCGGTCTTTTTTAGAACTCTGTGGGTCGGAACCGAACCCTGTGATAGCAACTATTGTGACGCGAGATGAAACTATGGTTTTCTATTACGACCCTCTATCGAAAAAAGAATCAATGGAGTGGCGTCGTAAGGGTGAAGCACCTTCAAGAAAATTCAGAGTCTGCCAGTCAACAAAAATGGTGATGGCCACGATCTTTTGGGATTGTGAAGGAATTATTTTGATAGATATTAAAGAAACTAATACCACTATCAATGGTAAATATTACGCAACATTATTACGTGTTATATTTTTTTATATATTATATTACGTGTAAAAACGTCGAGGAAAACTGACCAGAGGCGTGCGTCTTTTGCACGATAATGCACCTGTCTATACTGCTGGTGTTGCACAATCTGCCAATTTAGAGTGTGGGTTCCAACAGATAGATCATCCTCCCTATAGTCCAGATATGGAGAGAATATTTTTTTAAAGGGATTGAGTTGTTAATAACGAGATGTAATAAGTGTATTGAAGTTATATTGAAAAATAATAAAAAAATTGTTACTCTACTTTGTTTCTTTCATATTCAGGCCGGGAAATTTTGACGCTGCCCTCGTATATGGGTTAAGGTTACTTTTTACAAAACTTGTGGATTCCTCCTGCGTCGGTTGTTGCTGAGTCGAAGTTGTTAAGGTTTCGCCAATCTTCCTGTTGGCTTCTTCAGAGCGTGACTGAAACTTGACCGCCTTTTACTATGTACCTGCTTACATATTGTTTGAGGGCAACGGAGCTAAATGAGGGCACCTTCTCGGATGACTGATTCCCATATTGGTGACAGATAAAGACCTGAGTCGCGGTTAAGATTTCTAGGTTGTTGATAGATTTCTATAGACTCCCGGATTTTTCGTTGGTAGAAGAATTGATTGCATGCAAGAATTTTAGTTTTATCGAATAAAATGTTATCTCCGGTTTCGTGATTGTATTCTGTAACTGTTGAGGGGTTTATTTGTCTCAGTCTTAAGGTGTTCGAGTTAGCAAAAACCGACGCAGGAGGAATCCAAAAGTTCTGTCAAAAGTATTACAGTAGCCTGTGGAAGTTTCTTTGAAAAATTAATGTTAAGGTTATTAAATATGTGGCTAACTCTGTATTACCTGTATTGAATATCATTTGTAATGATGTTTTGAACACAATGTATTTCCTGTATGACCTTGTTAGGTCTTTCGAAAGCTTTTGATTACGTTAGCCATGAGTATCTTGTAAACAAACTTGAATTTTTCGGTAGAAAGGGTCAAAATTTGAACTTTTTTAAATCTTACCTTAACAACAGATAACAAATCGTTACTGTACCTACCGGTGATGTTTCTGAACTACAAGTTGATTCGCTTGAGGTGCCACAAGGCTCAATACTGGGTCCAATTCTTGTCCTAATATTCATGAACGACACCCTCGAATATAAGATCACATATGGTTTCTTTAGATGCAGATGACACAACAATACTTAATTTGGCTAGAACCTTAAGTGACGCAGTATCTGCAAGTACTCGGGCGATTGCTGATGCAGAAGAGTGGTTTCGTTCGAATCGTCTTAAATTGAATGAAAATCAATCAGAGGTTGTCTTTATTTCAATTGCACCTAGCGTTAACTTTAAACTTCTGGATGTCTACATAAATAGTAGACTTATCATAGACCATATTGTTGTGGTATGACTCTTTAGAGGTGGATAGAATCTTTAAAATTCAAAAAATGATTGTTCGACCTGTGTGTTGTGCACAAAGTAAGGTTTTCTGTAAGTCACTATTAGAAAAAATGAAAATACTAACTCTCCATTCAATTTTCATCTATCGGTGCATAATATATGTCCATCAAAATAAAAAGTAACGAATTCTGCGTGCAAACATAACTCAATCGAACATTAACTTCTTTGGTATTAAATTGTATAACAAAATAATAGCAACTCTCAAAAACAACTGTTCACGGATTGAATTTAAAAAAATTTTTAAAGACATTTTAACACAAGAATGCTTTTTACAAAACTTATGGATTCCTCCTGCGTCGGTCTTTGGTTAGTCGAAATTGCTGACGTTTCGCCAATCATCCTGTTGGCTTCTTCAGAGCTTGACTGAAACTGACTATGTATAGGTACTGTACTAACTATAAGGATTTTTTTGAAAGCAACTTTGAGAGCTACATGAATTTTAGATTGTTTGTTTTTGCGTAAACATTATACATTGTATGTTTACCTCGAAAACTCGTATTGACCACTTTATATGTATTGTTAATACATGTTTAGGCAATAAATTATTATTATTATTATTATTATTATTATTAAGAATTTTATAATGTTTACATATTATAGTGTGTCCCAAAGTATATCGTCTTGGACTTTGACTGACTCTCCCCCAAAAAGTAATAACGACCTTCATACTTATTGCTACTGGATAATCTGCAAAATAGACGAAAAACAAGTGCAGGATATAATAAAAATAAAAATATATTTCTTTTATTAAAACCGCAATCACACAGATCGCGCACTTGAAATCTAAGGATGGGTTGATTGGACTAAAAACTGTCAGATAAAATTACCTCCAAATATATTTACTATTACGGACTCTAGTCTGGAGTCTAGTCTGGCATAGTTTCAAAATTAACTTTGAAAAAATATTCCGGAAAACACTGTCATTGTAACAGATAACGGACGCAATCACGGCCGCCTGCTACAAAAGGCACCAAATTCATCAATTACAAAACTGAAATTGAACAATATTTGATACGAACTAATATTTAATAATAAATATTAATATTAAAGAACAATATGTGTGTGGTAGTTTAGCTGAATAGATGGGGCACACTGTTCTACGTCTTCTACCATATCATTGTATAATCAACCCGATTGAACATTTGTGACACCAAGTAAAATCAAATGAGAGAACAGAAAATGTTACTCCTACTCGAAATCCGAGTGTAATAAATATGATCCATTTTTATTAATCCGAATGACAACTCTGAGAGTGAAACAGAATTAGATTTTGAATAAACTAAATGAAAAAATAATATCTGCGTCCAGAAGGACCGTTCACTGGAGAAGATTTAACTTTTTGCGATACCTCTAACATTTTTCTGTGAATGTTGTGTAGTTGGACAACTTTGCGTATACCGGTGCCGTATTGCTTTCCGCCTCAGTTTATGTTGTTTACTCTAGGACTTTGCGTTGTTGATTATACTCGTAAATACCTCCTCACGATGCCCGGGAAAACTTTTTCGCCAAACAAGTTATTGTTCATTTTTTGAAGACGTCCCTCTTTAGGTCGTTTTTAATAAAAATCGATTTCCCATATTTTCCTTAACGCTACGAAAGAGGCGGGTCGGCTGCCGAAACACTGCTAGCACAACCGCCCGAAGACAAACGACCGTAAGCGGATGACTGGCGGTGCTTTAACGTGGATTTATGTTGATCGTAGAATGCCCGGCGTAGAGGAAATTGCTTGTTTATCAAGGTGCGATTTATGAAGGACTTAGGCTGTGGACGAGACAAATGAAGATTTCGGAAACTTGTTGGCTTTAATTAGTCACGTACGTGTCCGACGGCTGTCGCGTAGCCCGCGCGCTACAACTGACGATATAGTTTGTTTCGTTACTAAGTTATAGGCACCGGACGAGGATGTATTGCAAATAAAGGGGACACGAAGAATACTAAAGGTTTCCATTTACCTAACCCTTCGCCACTTTCGTATATATGTTGACTCACGGTGGCAGATCAGACGTTCATCGAACATAGGTGGCAAGAATTAGCTCTATTATAATAGAAATAAAACACGATATTACTAATGTGTATATGGAATATAATAATACTCGCTAAGAAGTACCGTAAGGTCAATTTTCGCATCTAGACTCTATTTTCTTCCTATAACCTGTATCAAGTAGTGGGCAAAGCATCTACCTATGTTAATCAATAACTGTTTGTTTTAGGACCAGAACTTCGTCTCTTTTATGTCGCATGTCCTGGCTTGATCGCCAAACTCGATATTATAACGCACAGGACGCAGACAAATATTCTAAATATTACATTCGGACATGCTGACAGTTGATCTAGTCTCATGAAAAAATTGTAAATGGTTATGAGAGCAACTAGTTCTATTCTTCATCTTACGTGTTATGCCCTTAAGAACATCC